TTGGAAGGAGATTATTTTTGAAGGAAAGAGAAGAATAGCAGAGAATCCCCCTGCCCCCTCCTCTCTTTTTAAAGAAGAAGAAAGAAATAGCTTTCTTTGACATGGCTTTCAGCTTGGTGGAAATTAATTCATAAAGCAGTTTGCATGTAGCGCCAATTGGCTTCAACACAAAGTTCTAACAGTAATGTATGCAGGACTCTACCGTCAAAGCTAGGGCAGGGGAAAACTCGATCCATTATTTACATAGTAGTAGTTATGAATCTGGGGCCGCTAATTTAAAGAAAGGGTTAAGGAAGCCCTCTGCCAGTGGCAAAATAAATGCACAATCTCAGAGTTGGAAGAGGTTTCAGAAGCCAAGCAGTCCAATATGTAGCGGAGAAGAAATCCCTCTCGAATAATGTCGATAAGTGACCATCCAGTCTTTGCTCAGAGATACCTAGTGAGGGAGAAGTTCCCCACCACCCAAGGTGCCCAGTCACACATCTAGATTGTTCTAAGTGGTTAGGAAACTTTTCATGATAACAGGTCTAAATCTACCCCTTGGGAAACTCCACCCTTTGCTCTTGGTTCTGGATAGAGCACTGGGCCTGGAGTTAGGAAGACCTGATCACAAATCTGGCCTCAGATGCTTACTAGCCTAGCTGTGTGAATCTGGGCAAATCCCTTTACCTCTGCCTCAGTTTTCTCAACTGTAAAATGGGCATAATAGCACCTACCTCATAGGGTTGTTGTAAAGATCATATGATCATAAAGATCATATATTTATAAAACACTTAGCCAGTGCTTGGCACATAGTAGGTGCTTAATAAATGCTTATAATCCTTATGATTCTTCTATTTAGGGAGGCAGGATAAAAGCAGACTATGCTAAGTAACTTAATTTGTTTTTACCTGATCTGAGCTTTCTTCAGGAGGTTCCAGGAATGCCCTCTTCCCAATGCAGACTGGCCCCAGCTCTGAATCTTATAATCTTGTGTCTGGGGCCCTGAGAGAATCAATAACTTTCCCCAGGCTCACACAGCCCATTTGCATCAGATGTAGCACTTGAACCCAAGGCTTTCTGACTCCAAGGCCAGCTCTCTGGCCACTCTTCCTTTTTAAAGCAGGAGAACACTGGGTAGCTAGGGAGTGGCTGCTTGGTCAGCAGGGACCTCACTCCTTACAAGGTCCAGGCACCATGACCTCATCTCTCCTCCTGTACTTTGCTTCTGCCAACTCCTTGCACCCCTATGTTTGCCTTCAGGACTCTCTATTCCATCAGTACAGGTTGGGACATAAGCATACACTCAGTGCTGCATCCCCTCTCACCAAACAGACTATATCAAAATCAGTCACCCATGGCACACATATTCAATATCCCTTCTGTATCATATCAGAAAGTGTAGGCAGGATGATGTAATCAGACTTACCAAGTAACTGAAACAACCATAATGCGTTTCTCAGAACCCAGGAACTGAAGATTTGGAAAAGAACCCAGAGATCATCTAAGTCAAAGTCCACCAGACCAAGAGTTGCCTTGACAAAGTCTCCAACAATTGGTCTTTCAGCCTCTATCTAAATACCTATGGTAACAAGGAATTCATGACTTCTTGAGGTAATCAATTCTATTTTGAAACAATTTTGTTAAGAATGTTTCCCTTATACCAAGAAAATTCCACCTGTGGATGCTAATTTTCCCCTCTGGGGTCAAGCATGAAAATTCCTTTGGTTACATGACAGGAAGACTGCTATCCCATCTTCCCGCTTCCAGACTAAGCAAATATTCCCAGTTCCTTCAACTGAATTTAGTCTTCATAGGTTCTCCAGACTTCTGTACCAGCCCTTCCTTTCCCCTGGTTGTCATCTTCTGAACACACTCTGTAGCTCCACCGAAAAATGTGGCACTCAGGACTGAGACACGATGTTTCCAAATGCAGTCCAGGCAGCACAAAATAAGAGTAGAATCATTGCTTCCCTCATTCTTGTCATTATAGCTCCATTAAGGCATCCTACAATGTAATTAGCTTTTTTTTGGCTGTCTGGTCACCTTGTTGACTCATCTTAAGTTTCCAGCCCATTAAAATCACCATATCTTTTGCACTTATGAAACTGGTTTTCAAAAATAAGTACAGATCTTTTATACACATCTGTATTAAATTTTCCCTTATAGGATCCAATCCAATGAAACCTTACTAGGTTCCACCCGTCCTTCATTGGGGTAAGCTATCATCTTCTGCTTAGTGTCATCAATCGATCAACAGGCATTTATTAAGCACCTATCCTATGTCAGTCATTGAGCTTTAGCACACCAAGACTATAAAGACAATTGAAAAAGTCCCTGCCTTCTCTGGAACATAAGTATGTACAAACATAGTATTATAAAAGTCACCTGGAAATAATATGCCAACAACTATAATATAAACATCAAAAGGCAATTTTAGGGGAGGTACTTGTAGCTGGAGTAATCATAAATGGTTTCATGGAGGAGACAGTGCTTAGCTAGACTTTGAAGGAAATTATGAATCATCATCACCGTCATTAAAGCTAGAACTTTGATAACATTTTAAGGTTTGCAAAACATTTTACAAATATCTCATTTTATCCTCACAATCCCTGGGAATGAGATAGTGAGCAACTTGGAGAAAATAAATGCATAACACAATTGTAGTTCATTTTGCATTATTAACATTTTCCCAACTTTAGCAGATCAACAAAACAATAAGTCAAACCCTAATTTGTAGCATTTGCCTATTTCTGAGGTGAAAATACTTACATTGAAAATGTAATAATAAGCTCTCAAGAACCAGTTTGAGCTAGTTCCAGAACATCTCTTTTGGGAGTTGGATGCTATTATTATTTCCTTTTAGAGGTGAGGAAAACCAAGGAGGACAGAAGTTAAGTTGCCATGGGTCAAAAGAGCTAGTAAGTATCTGAGGCCCAATGTGAACTTGGCTCTTGCTGATTCCAGGTACAATGCTCTATCTACCACAGCTAGAGGCAGGGACAGGGAAGAAGTGCATTCTATCCAAAGGTACAAAGAAAGGAGATGAAATGTCTCGCGTGAATAACAGCAAGAACAGCAGTTTGGTTGGACCATCTAGTGTTCAAAGAGAAATTACACACAATAAGCCCAGAAAAGTAGTTTAGGAGCCAGGACATCTGCAAATAGGACAAGCGTGCTTTCTGTGGCTTAAATTAAATCACTGATAAAAATGCTAAATAAAATAGGACCAAGGACAGATCTCTGGTACCTTCATGAGAAATCTCCCTCTAAGATCACATTCCTCCTCAGAGATTGCTCTTTGGGCTGGGCCATCCAACTAGTTCTGAATCTAATTAAATCTAAATCCAACCATACAATCATCCAGTCCCCATCTCCATCTTGCCCTCTAAATGCAGCATACATGACACTGTCAAACTGATTTGCTGGAATCTAAGGAGTCTATGTCTATGGCCCTGCTCTTAGTCTAGTTACCCTGTTAATGAAGGAAATGAAGTTTATAACTACAGACCACAGGGCATCCCATCACCCCGGTCCTCTGATCCTCCTGCAAAGCTATGTCCATCACAGGTTAATATACAACATACAGTCTCTACATCACAGCTGCTGGAGTGTAAAATGCAACCTTAAACACAGATAACCACAAAAAAATGGCTATAAAAGGAAGAAATAGCATGGACTAATTTCCACTTAAAGCCACTGCCTGGTCATCAGTGTTGATATGTTTTAGTTCTGGGTCTATCTTAGACCAGGGGTGGGGAACTTGAGGCCTTGAGGCCACATGTGGCCTTCTAGGTCCTTGGATGAGAACTTTTGACTGAATTGAAGTTTTACAGAACAAATCCTTTTATTAAGGGGATTTGTTTTGTGAAGTCTGGATTCAGTCAAAGGGCTGCACTTGAGGACCTAGAGGGCCACATGTGGCCTCCACGCCACAGGTTCCCCAACTGTTTCTTAGACTGGTCATCATTTTCATGATTGGTTTGAAGTCCAAGGTCAAACTTTTAATAATAATTACACTGGATCACTTCAGTTCAGAGGATCAGAGGATTTCAGACTTAGAAGGCATTCCCAGAGGCTGCCCAATCCAATCCATATGTTTTTTTTTAAAAAGGATTCTCTTTATGCCATACTTGACAAGAGACCTTCTATGCTGGAAGACCCATAGTAGGAGGGCATCTACTGAGGCAGCCCCTTCCACTTTGGGATCATTCTAATCATTAGGAAACTTTTCCAAACCTCAAATCTAAATTTGCCCCCTTTGCAACTTCTTCCTATTACCCGAACTCTTCCCTCTGAGAACAAGGAGATCAAGCCTGATGCCTCTTCCATATGACAGCCCTTCAAATACTGGAAAATAGTTATCATGTGCCTTCTCTTCTCCAGGCTAAACATTCCCAGATCCTTCAAATCCAGCCTTAGACACTCACTCAAATCCAGATATGACTTTAAAAGTTGAACAGGAAAATGACCCTTTGAGCAGAAGAGCAGGAGGCCAGAGCTCATGAAGACTTCTGTCCGAGGCCTGACTTCACTACTCCCTAGTTGAGTGATCTTGGGCGATTTTCCAGGGGGCCTTACTATGTCTCAGTTTCCTCATCTAACAATCTATAATGCTATGAAGTCATAAAAGATATTAAACAGATGAACCAACTCAAAAATTTAAAAACCAACCCTAATGAGAATAATGAATCCCTTCTGAACAGTCATGCCAAGTACATTAAAAATGATCACAGGGTTGTGGTCTGTTTTGTTTATTTTTAATTTTCTACTCCCCATCGTGAAAGGTGTGAAAATTGATTTGTATAGCTCTGAAACATTAAAATATATAAACTGAAAATGAACCTACTAGGGAGAAGAATTATGAATTTAAAAGAAAATCTTCTTCACTGAAATGGTCACCCTATCTCCACATGGCCTTTGAGAGGCTAATCAAACTATCCTCACTGGACCTGCCAATTTTTTTCTGTAAACAAAAAGGGCTGTATAGGCCATAGAGGCCTAACACCTGCTCATCTCACCTAGGTAGTTGTCATCCTCTGCCTTCCCTGAGAAGCTGTGCTGTCGCACATCAATATTGGTAGCACCCGGTGGGATCCTGACCACAGTGTTGTAACCTAAAAAAAATACAAAAGTCATTCAGGAGGGTCCTGGCCAGTTTGTTTCCTTTGAACAGAGAAGACAAGTTGTCTCTCAGCAAAGAAAGAGGAGCTAGAATTCAAATCCACAAGACAAATTCCCTCTGAATGGTAGTTTTTCACAGCCAGATGTAGAAGAGAGCATCATTTGGCTGACTTCACACTTGATGTTAATTTTTTGCTCGTTACCTGTGGTTAAAAATGCTTAACTTTGGCATTTTTCTCCTTGTGGTACCAAAAAACAGATTCTTACCATAATGTACGGTATTAAATGTCCCCGCCACGGTTTTGCATGAAGAGTTATCACCACCGCAAACCCCACATTTATCTCGCCGTGCTTTTGAGTTTAATACATGATCACATCCAGCTTGCTTTAAGAGAGAAAATATTTGGACAAACAGTAAGCATGAAACTGAAAGATAAGGAGGCATATATTCAGTCTTATTACCTATTACTTCTTTCACACATTCTCCATTCCTGTCAAACTGGCCTGCCCAGTATCTCCTATACATGACATGCCATCTCCCACTTGCATGCTTTCGCAAAAGCAGTCTTCCATATCTAGAATGCCCTCCTTCTCCCTTGCATCTCATAGACTCATCTTTCTTCAAAGCATAGCTCGGGTAGTCTCAAGAAGATCAGTGCTACCAGTCTCATCTCAGACACTTTCTAGCTCTGCGACCCTGAGCAAGTTACTTCAACTCTGACTTGGTTACTACATCTGTAAAAGGGGAATAGTAACAGCACCTACTTCCCAGGGCTATTGTGAGGATAAAATGAGATCTTTTAAAAGAGCTTTGTAGTCCGTAAAGTGATTACAAATGCTATAAAATTACAAATAAATAAATATTGGCTATTCTTATTAACATGTACCATCTCTTACATGAGGATTTTTCTGATTTCCCCCCACAATTATTGCCCTCCCCTCCACTCTTGAAATCACTTTGTATTGCTTTATATACATCAGGGATCCTTAACCTGGAATCTGTGAAGTTGTCTTGTTTTTTAAAATATGATGGTAACTGTCTTTCAACATAATTGGCTTCTAATTTATGCATTTAAGACCATTATTCAGAGAAGGGATTTCTAGGCTTCACCAGTTTGCTGAAAGGGTCAATGGCACAAAGGAAGTTAAGAATCCCTGGTATATAAGTATACTTATTTGTATACTTTATCAGAGCATGCCATCATGCCTTCCCCTAAGAGAAGTACAGTAGTGGGGAAGAGGCAGAGCCAATAGGATGGTCCTCGCAGGATGTGCATCCTGCCTTGGGTCCTCTTTTGTCCAACTCTGCCTCTGGCTCCAAATAGGAACAGTTACAGTATGAGGTAACTTGGCATGCTATTCCTAGGAATAGGAACCATGCTCAGGAAGAGAGAGCTAAGGGAGGGCATATGCAAGGGGAATTCCATTTCCATGGAAGACAGCTGTGGCGGAACATGTCGGGGATGGTCTGCCATCAGCCAAGGTCCTCAGGCTATGTTTCCATTGTTCAGAGGCTGCATTCAGCTACTGTATGGCATTGTGCCAATCCTCTGAAGGAAATTAATTACTGTACTCACCCTACAAAGCCCTTGGACACAGATATCATTGGTGTCTTGTCCACAGGGAGTGCCGTCCACCACTCGGTCTCGGAGCTGATAGTAAGCCGTATTTCCTGCTACCCTACAGAACAGTTTGCACCGGTCTTTCATCAAAACTAAGAAAGAGAAACAAGAAGAGATGGGAATTTCATGCCTGGACCCAGTGGCTACCTACTATAGAAATCAGCTTCCCATTCTACTTACTTCCACTGTACTTTGGAACCCAGCGCACGTTGGGAAGTAGGCCATTAATGTTAAAATGCTTTCCATCAAAGTGGGCACACTGCTCATCTCGGAAATCCCTCTTCTGATGAGGACATGGTTCAGTGTTACAGGATTTAAATTTCATTCTGCGACCTGTGCAGTATCTTCCACCATTCCGAGGCCTGAGAAAATACAAAGAGTGCGTCATATTGGTATGGGATGGGTGGTTCTCCCAGTTCCACCGTCTCTAATGCACGTCCTCTGTTCTCCTATCTCTAATGGTTTGTTTCTTACCATTCACAAGGAATTCCATGCCAATTGTCCTGTGACTCCCAGATTATAGACCTTCCATTTTACAAGAGGCAGAAATGAGTTCAGAGAACACAGGCTATGAGATCTGGAGATGAAAGAGACCTCAATGTCCTAGTCCAACCTCCTTTCTTAAGATAAGGCAACTGAGGACCAGTTAACTGAACTGCCCAGGGTCTTACAATACAATGGACTCGCAGAATCCTATCCCTAAAGCTAAAAGGGGCTTCAAAAGCCACTGAGTCCAACTCCCTGATGAGGGAACCGAGACTCAGGCAAAGGGACTTGCCCAAGGTCATGTAGATAGTAAATGATAGAGGTTACATTTGAACTCAGGTCTTCTGACTGCAGGTCAATATGCTCTTTGCATTCTCTACTTCCCGAGGATATCACTCCCTTCCTCATATGTAATATCAGATCATTACTTTGCACCCCATCCTTGTAGCATGGTAACAAAATAGGGATTGGGACTAAATTGGGATTTAACTGGTGTAGAGAACTCCCATGTGAGGACGATCTCAATGCAGGTGAAACTGATAGTCTCAGGGAAATGCCAGAGAGGTTAAGTAACTTATTTAGGGGTCACAAAGCCTGTGTCAAAGGTCTTCTTGGCTCTGAGATCAGCTAAAATATGTTTTTTTTAAAAAGCCTATAAAACCTCTAATTTTAGTAAATTGAAGGATCTTGTATTTATAATTTTAATTGAAGGATAGACCTAATGGATTTGAGAGTGCGTGGTCCTTAAAAGTCATACAATCTCATATTCTCTTTTTTATGAATAAGGAAACTGAGCCCCCAGAGAGGTGAAAAAGGTCTCAGAGTCACTGAAGTTTTAAGCAGCAGAGCCAGGATTTGATCATGGCCCTCTGGCTCCAAAGCCAAAGCTTTTTCAACTGCCTCCCAAATGGGGGTGGGGGGGTGGGGTGGGAGCTGGGAAGGGAAGGGCCAGGCAGTCAGAGTGAGTGGAAGCATACTGGTTTCATTAACTTCTGTGTGACAAGAGTATGGTTTTGTTTGGATCTTTTTTTTTTTTGTCTTGTCAGGCAGATCAGTGCAAATTTCAGCCCTGCGTGCAACTCTGTACGTTCATTTTCCAGATGTGACCCAGAGAGCAAATTATATAACACATCTTTCAGAAGTCAGAAACTGGACAGTTTTACCCAGGAAAATGGAAGACTTTACAGATGTCTTCAAAAACACCCCTGAAGTCAATAGAAAGACTCCCGCATTTTCACTGCAGAAGGAGTTTTTTTCAGGATTTTCCTAACAAAAATTAGCTTTCCTTAAAAAAGAAATACAGGAGGGGAGAAAGGAGGGAGAGAGGGAAGAAGGAAGGAAGAGAGAAGGAAGAAAGAAGAAACAAAAAAGAGAAAGAGAGAGGGAAAGAGAAAGGAAGGGAGGAAGGAAGAAGTTCATATAGCAGCCATTTATTCAAATCAGGATTTATTGGGCCCCTACAATTTCTTAAGTAGCTTCCAGCCCCAGCAATGAGGACAAGGGCCAAAGAGGGCAGTAGAATGAATGTCTAGATGCTAGATGTGCCAACAGGTAGCTGTGGCCTTGATCCAAAGCTGAGATGGGAAACTCGGCTGGGCTATAAACCAGCTCTCTGGATAAACCAAAGATTTTGACCAAGCTTGCATATTTGCATATTGTCCCAGGCACCTAGCAGTGGCATAATGGGTGAGGTAGGAAGACCCAAGATCACATTCTACCTCAGACATTTCCTAGCTGTGTGACCTCATCCAGGTCACTTAAACTCTCTCAGCCTCACTTTCCTCATCTGCAACACGGGGATAATAACAGCACCTCCCTCACAAAGTTGTTGGAAAGATCAAATGACTTTTGTAAATCTTAAAGGGCTACTATGAGAATAGAGAGTTGAATGGAGCTGAAGCAGGAACACCAACCAGCAGTTCCTAGACCATATTCTAATATGAGTAGGATCTGTACTTTCATCATTCATCTTCCATGATGAAATAGACAGCTCAGTCATAAGTATGTTAGCCCTAGGCAGTACCTGTGGCAGAGACAAGTTGGCTAACATCGTCTCCCTTTGCTTTTAGACAGCATTAAAAATAATCAATGTTGCACGGTCATTTATTTTTTATGATTCATTCATCTATTGAATAGACCATCTGAATGTTAAGTCAATGAAATTTTTATTCATAGTTGATTTAGCTTCATTGGTGGAATATTCTCATTCTTTATTTACCCACAAGCAATATCACATTCATAAAGGTAAAACTATGCAGGAGATGCCTAATTTCTCCTATTTCCTGAGAGATGTTGCTTGGATTTGTTTTTATATGCTATATAACAAAGTGTCCTCCCGGGGCTCAACTTATCTACCGAGAAAAGCAGCCTGGTATAATGGATAAAATGTTGGCCTTTTGCATCAGGAATACCTGAGTTCAATTCCTGGTTCTGATATTTATTGTGTGCCCATGGATGAGTCACTTAAACTTTCTGATCCTCAGTTTCCTCCTAGGAAAAATATGGGTCACAATGTTATAGTACTACCTGCCTCAGGAGGTTCAAATTTGATTATGGAGGCAAATTGCCTTGAAAATCTTAAAATGTTATGTAAATATCAGCGATATTATTTGAATTTATCTATAGATGTATGTATTGGAGGGGAGGAAGTTGGGAAGCATTTTTTTTAGCATTTAATTTATTCTATTTTTAACAGACTAGCCCACTAGCATTTTTCCATGTAGTCTGCCTTTGAAATTTAGAGGAACTTCTCACTTTAAAACAATACTAACTTTTAACCCCAACATCCTTTTCTGATTATGTATACCAAACAAGGGATTGAAGAAATCTCAGAGGATGTCATCATCTATTTCAGTATTATCGAGGCATTAAAAAACACAGTAGAAGTGGGCTGGTCATTCAGTAGTATTATTATACTTAATACAGAATGAAAGGAAATCCTGAGTGACCTTTAAATGAAATCTTGGGAAAGCTAATCAACCCCAAGTGTTTCTTATCCCTGAGAAAAGTTTCACCATAACCTGCAAATAGCTGGTTAAAATCAAATCATTAAGATATGGGTTCAAATTTTGCCTTAGACCACTGAACCTCAAAATGGCATCTACCTCCCAGGGATGTTGTGAGCATCAACGAAGTCATGTATGTAACTCTCTATGTATACTCTACATAAAGTAACATACAGAAATATAAGTTATTATTAGTATTACCACTATTAATGTGGCATCAAATTGATCACCAGCCTCCAGTTTTTCACATTTCAAAGAAATTCCTCCCAACCTCAGCATTTAAAAAATAGAAAACAATTCTCATACTGAATCCAAATGTTAATAGGGCAAAATTAATTTTTCTGTAAATAGAGAACAGTGTCTTGTAGTGAATAAATACTGACTTTGAAGACAGAAAGACCTGTGTTCAGATCCTCCACTGGCTACAAGCAAATCACTTAACCTCACTGGTCCAGGCAACTTATGGAGATAGTAAGCTACAGAGGAGGCAAGGCTAGGTGTTCTTCACTGGTAGAGGGAATGTCCTCATTGCGAGTTTTCCTATGGCAATGAAGTTACAGGGCTGGTTCACAAATAAATCACATATGCATCTTCATCCTTCACAGGGAGCTTGTTACACAAAGGATATCACAGTTCTGGTCAAAAAAGGACAAATGAATGGATAGATGGATGGAGAAAGAAAGAGAGATAGAGATATGGATGAATAGGATGGAGATAGATAAAGAGACAGAGAGATAGAGATATAAACAAATAGGACAGATAAAGAGAAAGGGAGATAGAGGAAGAGAAATGGATGAATGGATAGATGGGCAGAGAAAGAAAAAGAGAGAGCGACATGGATGAATAGGATGGATAGATAGATGGAGAAAGAGACAGAAAGAAAAAAGTAGAGGAATGGATGAATGGATAGATGTATGGAGAAAGAGAGAAAGACAGAAAAAAGAGGGAGAGAGCTAGAGATATGGATAAATAGGATGGACAGATGGATAGGTAGGTAGGTAAGCAGGTAGGGAGAGAGAGAGACAGAGAGACACACAAACAGACAGAGAGAGAGAGAGAGAGAGAGATGGATGGTGGATACGTAGAGAGATAGAGAAAGAGACAGAGATGGAGGGAATGAAATGAATGAATGAATGGGTAGGTAGATGAATTGATGGACACACAGACAGATGGACAGACAGACAGGACAGCTAATGCACTAAGTACACTTTGATCAATTTTATAAGCATTTACAATGACAAGAATTGTTAAATAGGAAATCCCTTCCCTAATGAGCATGACTTCTCTTATATTTAGACCAATGCATTTATCTCTTTTCTAACTGAAGCTGTCCTAATTTATAAGCAAAATGGAAGAACCAGAAGAGAAAAGCAATGGTGAGGTACTTTGTCACCAAATTTCCATCTTGATCAGAGTTCTAGCACTAGATTCATCCCCACAATCTCAAACACTGTTCCCCAAATCTGTTAATGCAAACCGGAGGTACTTCCTCCATTCCTCAAATTAGAAAGCATACAATCTCCCAGCTTATATCAACACATGCTGCTTGCTAATTGTCTCTAGTATGCTTCTATGTATATGCTTAGACTCTGTCTATTATTTCATAGAAGATGATCATAGGATTTAGAGTTGGAAGGGAGTCTCTGGGGATTATATGGTCTAAACCCTTAATTTTACGGATGAGGAAATAGAGGCCCAGAGAGGGGAAGAGATTTTTCCCAAGATCTAATAAGCAGAGGAGCCAGGATTCAAAGCCCTGTGCTCTAACTCCCATATATACAATAATCACGTGATTATTACTCTATTTTAAAAATCATGACAATGCATAGTCTCTAGATTCTGAACCAACACAACATTCCTTTCAGATGAATAATGTGAAATCAGCAGGCCCATTAAAACAAGTACACATGTGGTTTTAAAAGGGGCTATGCATTAGGTGCTAAAGGCTATGAACCTGAGAAGATGCCAGTCTCCAAGCTAAGAAGGAGCTGGTGACTACAAGAGGCCCATCACTTATTGAGGGGAGGATCTATCTCTCGCAGGAATACCTTTAAAGAACACTTTTCTGTACTTTTACTCTCTCTTGGATCTGGTTTTTCTCTTCTAAATCATTTCCCCACTTAAACTGATTTCCCTAATTGAGGAAGGAAACTGGATTTCTGGGAATGCGAGTGTTAAGATGTATTTTAACACCTCTATTTTCAATAATCCAATCTCTTTCCTTTGTTAGTCCCTTACCCTCTCTGGGCTTTGGTGGTGGCCTGGAAGGGCCCTTCTAGCTCTAAAACTTTCATCAAAGCATCCTACGGGCCAAAGAACTAATTGAGCATCTACCATATAGCCAGTACTAGATTTTGTTTGTAAGGTGGCAAGCAATTAGTATCTGATGAAAAAAGAGCTCTGTATGAAGCTCAAATAAGGCTGTACACATATACATATCTACATATCATGCACACATATATACATATCATACACACACGTTAATACACAAATACACACAAATGGTATTCTGTAAACCTTAAAACAAAATGTGAATATTCACAATCACAATAGTTATTATATAAATATGCATACATATGCATACATTTATATGTATACATGTATAAATATGTATACATACGTATTATATGAATATATATACTTATAAATATGTATACATTTGGTAAACTTTAAAACAAAATATGAATATTCACTATTGTAATAATTATTCTATAAGTATGTTTATATACACATATATACTATTCTGTAAACTAAAACAAAAATATTCACTATCATAATAATATGATTATATAAATATGTATTATACACATATATAATATTTGGTAAATCTTAAAACAAAGTATGAATATTCACTATCATGATAATAATTATTATTATATAAATTTATTATTATGTAAGATTGAAACAATTTAAAATCTTGAAAAATATCTGGACTTTCTAGTTGTTTAAGGGATATTCATCTCCCAGTAAGACAATAAATTATTATTATTATTATTAGTAAACTTATATTAAGTGCTTACTACAGGTCAGGCACTGTGATGAGTACTGGGGATACAACCCAATTCAACACCTATTTAAAGGCCTGCTATGTCCACGGCCCAGTGGTCAGTGATGGAGGGCACAAATACAAAATGAGACATTTCTTGTCTTTGAAGAGCATATATTTTACTACTCCTTGAGTACAAACCTTGGTCTTCTATTTCTTTTGTATCATTGCATTTGGTAAAAACATATGTCAGGGACTCAATGAAACTTCATAAAAAATAAAAGATGGACTCACCAGCCATCTCCACTTTGGAGTGACTCTTGATCTCTAGATGCCGCTTATTCCCAAACGGCATGTGCTCTACCAAGCTGATTGACCCCAAACCTGATCACTTTGATTGGTTTATAAATCTCCTACCCTGTTGAAAACTGAAAATCTCCCCCCTTCCAGGAATATTCTTTCCTGCCACAAGGATATTTTCAGCTTCTAAATCCTTCAAGCATTTTGAGCCATTGTTACACAGCCTGGGACCTGTTCCCACAGTACACTGTCTCATTCACTCACTGTTTTGCAGAGATGCCCCATGGCATGCTAAATAAAGGGCTAGACCTGCAGTCAGGAAGACCTAGTTGTGAATTTTATTTCTGGTACATATTGCTTAGGCAAGTACCTCTGAGCCTCAGTTTCCTCATCTGGGTTGACATAAGACTTAAAAGAGATGAAATATGGAAAGCATTTTGCAAACTTTTACATACTATGTAAATATCAACTATTATTATTTGCATAGGCACATCCTGAGTCATGAGCAGATGCAAAATTCCTCAAGATCAAAGACTGTCTCTATAATATACACACACACACACACACACACACACACACACACACATATTAATGCCCACACCTCCTAGTATAGTATTTGACAGAGAGAGGCTTGAAAAATAACCACAGACTTCACTTGGCCACATTAGAGCTGAATGTGTGGCATTTCATGTGTCAGCTGAACACTGACTGGACATCATTTACTCCAGTTCTGACACTCACTAGCTGGGTGACTTCATGCAAGTAACTTACCCTCTCTGGGTCTCAGCTCTGCCACAAATAAAATGAAGAGGGTAGACTTAGGAAGACCTCATTTTATAGATGAGGAACTGAGATGCCAGAGAAGGCTTAGTGACTTGTCCAAAGCTACATAGATGGTAAACATCAGAGGAAAGAATTGAACCTGTTTTCTCTAGATCTCTATCCCAACTCTGACAGTCTATGATTTAATGACACTCCCATTAATAGGTATTTAGAAAGGCCTGGGTTTGAAGCCCACTTCTATCACTTACTGGCTATCACCTTGGGCAAATCACTTGAATTTCTCTGAGCCTCAGTTTTCTCACTTAGAAAATGGGGGTAATATTATATCCAAAGTGCCTTCCTCACAGGGCTGGTATGAGGATCCCAAGAGAACATATACTTAAAGCACTTTGCCAGGTTATACCACTAAGCTGTCAGCCGTTACTCAACTGCCTCAGTCAGTACCAGATTCTTTTTACCATCCACTTCAGACAGAAAGAAAGGTGCCAGTATTTACTCAGGTCTGTTGCATTCTCGAGTGGCTGTTTTGATGCCACCACCGCAGGTCCTTGAACAGGTCCCAAAGTGACTCCAATTTCCCCATGATCCATCGGTCCGAGGTCCCTCCAGTTCTTTGGGAACACAAAATCCATACTTGCAGTGCTGTGGACGATAAAGGAGACCTTGGTGAGTTTTTCAGATATCGAACAAATATTTTTTTTTTAATTCCACCTCTCCCCATTCCCCAACTCATAGGTTTTTCTGATTTGGCTTATGAACCTTTAAGGGAAAAATGGCTGGGTTTTTAATCATATACTTACTGAGCTTGCAGTGTGCCTCTCCCTCCCAAGCAGATATAAGCATCAGTCAGTTAACAAATGTTTATTAAGTGTTCATTACATGCCAAGCATTGTGCTAAACATTGAGGATACGGAGAAAGGCATAAGCATCATCTCTGTTTTCGATAAGCTCACGTTATGAAGAGGTAAACAACATGCAAATAACTATTGATATATTGGATATTACACACACAAACATATACACACACACCCAGAGTATAAATGAATGGCAATCTCAGATTTAACAGGGATATACTTAGCATCTACTCTGTGCCAAGCAGAGAGGCCATGTGGATAAATGATAGAAAATCATCTTCATGGAAGGAGAGACTTTGGTTTAAGTTCCAACTCTGACACATGCTGGCCATGTGACCCTGGGCAAATCATGTAACTCTGAGAGACCCAGCCAACTTTTTTCCTATAGGTAACAAAGCAGGTGCAGATTTGCATTCTGGATCTCTGGAATTCCTTCAACAGTGAATTTCCTTCTTTCAGTGAAATTTAAGCCCAATCCAAAAATAAAGTGCTGGGCATAAAATGAGATAAAAACTGAAAGGTCCTTGTCCACAAGGATGGTACATTCCACTGGTGGGATCCAAAATACCAGGCTATAAGATGCCTTTTCTGCAATGATTGGATCGGATTATATGATATACACACAAATGCATAACCGTTTTGGCAGAAGTGGACAGCTCTTAGATGGTTCTTTCTCAGGAGGCCATCGTACAATCAATGATTTCACTCAATGGATGAGTCCATTGAGTCGAATAGGCTGTGCATTCTACAGAGCTGAAATAGGTTACCTATTTATTGTCTGGGTTTATGGATACTCTTTCCATTGGCTAGTGTCTAGGGTCAATGTAAGAAAGTGGGAATACCATGCTTGTATTTTATTCTCAACCTCAGATAACAAAAGACCAAATCTTTCTTAGTGCCATAATCAACCTCGACTGCCCTTCCTACCCTATAAAAACCCAGCTCTCTAATTCCCGTAAACTTTTTCTCCAGTGTCATCCCAGATGAGACATCTTTAAAGAGAACATTTCACTTTGGGGAAAGCCCACATTTTACTGCTTCTTTGTGAGTGATTTCAAGTTGGGGGTGGGGAGGGCATTTTCACTTTGAAGGGCTAGAACAGGAAGAAGGTCCTGATGTTTTTAAAACTCTGCAGCAGGAGAAGGGGGGTAAAGGAGCTGATTTCAACTCTCTTCCATTGTTAAGGAGTGAAGGGCCTGACAGACTGTGGAGGTCATGGGAGGAAGTTTACAAAAGGAGAGTGGCAGCAGGAGGGTCTCCCCTGCTGGGGCTCAGATCGATGAAGTGGAGCTGGTGGCGGGCGGGCGGCTTCAGGAAAACTCCTCATCTCATTTTCCCATTAGAGGCTCCATGCTGCAATGGAGGCAGCAGGAGTGATGGAAAGTCAGGGGCTTAGAGGAACGTGAAAAGTTGGGCTAAATAAGAACACAGTGAGGGAATAAAAGGGAAAGGTACGAAAGTACGAGGCAGGTGAAACACTCAAGTCTGCCCTTTGATTTTTTTAATAGAGATAAGTATTGAAATTGTGGATTTACATGTTTCCTACTTTCCAGGGCATTCTCTTGTACAAAGCTGACAATTAATTACACTCTGTCCGTATCCAAATATTTGGGCACTGGTCTTAAGGTGACTGCATGGAGGCTTCAAGTACTTTTAAATAAATGATGGCAGATATGTAGTGCAGTAGCTAAAACATTCCCTAAGAGAAGAAGACCTGAGCTCAGGTCCTAAATCTGATACTTAATAGCTGTATGACCCTGATAAGTCCTTTAATCTCAGCCTCAGTTTCCTCAGCTATAAAATGAGGATGATAATAATAATAATAAAATAAAATGAGGACAATAATAATAAATAAAATAATATGAAGATAATAATAATAATAACCTATACCTCACAAGGTTGTGATAAGGATAAGGGTCAAATGGGATACTATAGGTAAAGCATTTTGTAAATTGTAAAAATCATTATAAACATTGGCTATTGTTGCTGTTATTATTATGTGCCACCTAACATCTTTATCAATATGGTAGAATTCTGGGTCCGGAGTTAAAGGCCATATCATAAGCTCTACTCTACCCAACCAACATGGCCCTAACCAAAAGAACTTAAAAAACACTGCCAATGAATCATAACCAAATCAATGTCACGGTAATATCATGATATCATGCTAATGTCATCCAGTCACTAGTTCATGACAATGTTATGGAACTAATTGCCATTTGTAATGGTATTTCTCCCAAAATTGGGTTTTGGCAGAACTAATTCATAATTGTAGGTAGTGTAAGTCTATATTTTATATTATTGCCTTAGTCTGAACATTTCTTTAGCAATAATCATAATTATAAATATAGCTAGCATTTAAATATTTCTTGAAGTTTTGCAAAAGGCTTTATACATGTTAACTCAATTGATCCTCACAACTATACTTTGAGGTGGGTGCCCTTCTTAGAGATGAAGAAACTGAGGCAGGGAACAGTTAAGTGACTTGCCCAGGGCCACACAATATCTGTGATAAGATTCAAACTCAAGCCTTCCAGATCCAAGACCTGCGTTCTACCCACTGCACCAAATACATTACTAAGAGAAACCATGGAGATCAAAATAACCATCATTCATTCCATCTGTGACAAAAAGCTAGAACCTGAAGGAAAACCGAAGGAGCTGGTTACTTAAGCTCTAAGGCCAATGGTGAGCACTCACATGTTGCTTCTGAATGTTTGAAGCTATGCATAAACTACTTGATAGTGAATATTCACTCAGATAATAAGAAAATCCCCTGAGACCACGAGTTTTCCTTTCACTTCTGTCTCCTCACATGAGCATCTTCTTTAACTTAATTTTTTTTTCTTAAGGTTTATTGGATCCCTGAGTGTAGGCCTAAAGAAACTCAGAAGAGTTAGGTAAGTGCCTGGGGTTACAAAGGCTGGGTTTACACAGGAAACAGAAGATGTTCTGCCAAAACATGCCAATGAAACCAACTTTTACTAGGCATATTAGACAAATGATAATTGCCTAGTAGGTTAGCCATTACATCATTCTGAAGTATTAAGGCTATTTGGGGAAGGTGGAGCCAAAAAAGCAGTTTGCCCTTCCTAAAACTGTCCAAAGCTATTTAAATGAGATTTCCCATAAATAGTTCATTTTTTTTTTAAAGTTAGAGAAGGGGGACTGAAAGGTCAATTTTTCCCATGAGCAGAATTAAAACAAAGGAGGTACAAACCTCCAATGACCAACAGGGTTAAAATAAAAAATGTTAATGGACTTAACAAGAGAATGGAGAAAATAAAGAGAGACATTCTGTGAGTCATTCATTAAAATAACATCATGTCAGCAGACTGGGATAGATTACTGCTGAGGGTGCATGGCAGAAAGAGGAGAAACAAAATTAACTCCAAGGCAAAGGGAATCAGAATTTGCTGGCACAAAGAAAAATGCCTTGTGTTTTTCCTGCCAATGTGATAAAAATAAAAACAAAAACATACACACAAAACTTATTTGCCAACATATCTGCCATCATTGGCATCTGTAAATTACATAAATACAAGTCAGAGGAATAAACACACATGCGCGCACACACACACACACACACACACACGTCTTTAACAAGGCATTTAAGAACTAGATGCTTTCCTCCCTGTATAACATCAAAATGTACCCTGATTTCCCTCCTCCTTAAGTAGCTTTGGGGCCTTGCTTTGGAATAGCTTAATCTCCCCCTTTTCTGAATTGCTAGCTTGAAAGGAAGGGCATCCAACTGGTGCTGCTCTTTGGGGGCCTCTGATTGAAGCAATGTTCTTATCTCTGGGGCTTCTGCACTGTGTCTTGGCCCAGCCTTCCTGATCTGTGGATTCTCTTCTAGCCTATGTATATTTCTCAACTTTGAGGGGAGCCACAATTCCCAAGGAAATGAGGCTGGGGATAAATCACAGAGCCTTGGGGCTTTATCACAAATGCTTCTCTCACAAAGATAGCCTTGTAAAAGACAGCGCTGTGGCTTCATCGGTGGCTCCCTTATACACCGACTTCAAAAACCCACACGTGGCAAGTGCTGTGATAGTTGGGGGACCAGGAGCTAATAGGGCTGGCACCAGAGTTCTTGAGACACCTGGGTTTCCTCTTGTGCTCTAGAAAGATAAATTACACTAAGTAGAATTCCTTTTCTTTCATAATTCACCCTGATCATCATTATTGTTCAAGGAAATGCTGTTAAAGGTTCTTAATGAAGTAAACACTTCATTTTAAGGGCTACTACTTATCTGCTATACTTCTCTGCTAACAATCTATGCTAGGAACAGAAAAACCCATGAGCGAGTGCATGAGTGAGACTTGGTAAAGGTCACAGCAATGCAGAAAACCAAAGACTATAAGCTCCTTGAAGGAAAAGATGGGAATTTTTTGTCTTTGTATCCCTAGCACCTAGCAGCACCTAGAACACAATAGGCACATAATAAATGCTTGCTGATTAATTGGTTAAGTAGAAGCACTTGGTGGGGGGACATCAAAGCAATTGGTTAAGTGATTTGCCCAGGATCACACAGCTAGTAAGTGTCAAGTGTTCGAGGCTGGATTTGAACTCAGGTCCTCCTGACTCCAGGCCTAGCACTCTATCCACTGCACCACCTAGCTGCCCCTAGAAGCATTCATTTCTGACATTGGCATGACACCTCCCATGTGAGACTTTTCAAGATCCCCCTAGCCACTAGTGTGCCAGCACCCACTTACCTTGTATATATTTGTATAATATATGTACACACAAATATTTATGTATATGTGTATGTGTGTACATGTATATATACATATATATGGGGGCAGCTAGGCGGTACAGTGGATAGAGCACTGGGCCTAGAGTCAGGAAGACTCATCTTCCTGAGTTCAAATCTGGCCTCAGACACTTACTAGCTGTATGATCCTGGGCAAGTCACTTAACCCTGTTTGCCTTGGTTTCCTCATCTGTAAAATGAGCTAGAGAAGGAAATGGCAAACCACTCCAGTATCTTTGCCAAGAAAACTCCAAATGGGGTCATGAAGAGTCAGACATGACTGAAAACAACTGAACAACTTTTGTGCAGGATCTGTGGTGTGTCTGATGGGCATCCACACTTAAGTCTTTGGCTTCCTTCAAGGATGAACTTTGAAGCCACTTCCTATGTCCCATGAGATCTCTCTCCTGACCCCCCACCCCAAGTTGGTAGTATCCTCTCACTTCTCAAATTCTTTTAAAATTATTTGCATGTGCATGTGTATGTACATGTATATGTGTGTATAGGTACATGTATACGTGTGTATACGTATATATGTGTGATATACTTATACATACATACAAACAAACATACTTATATAAACACTGTGGTATAGTAGAGAGAGCCTTGGGCATGATGGCAGGATATGCCCCTGACATTTCCTAGCCGTGTGTCTCTGCGATAATCACTTAGACTTCTTTTGATACAGAGAACTCCCAGCACTTAATCACCAAGTTATAGAGGAATTGTGATCTCTATAGTGGAGGGAATTCCCCATGCTGGGAAAATCCCCAGCTCTTTCATATACCTCATGTATGTCCTACCCTCCAATAAAATGGGATTATTTTTCATTTTGTTTTCATGTCCCCAGCAGCTAGCCCATAGTAGGCTCACTTAATAAATTCTGGTTGAATGGAGGGATAAAAGCCAGAACTTGGAGCGAGGTGAACAATGTATCTGGTACATAGGTTGAAATAACAGTATTTCCCACTTCATCTCCATAGCGCCATATACTTTCCAAAGCATTTCACACCATTTATTCTCACAGCCTTGGGGAGTAGATGGAGAAGTAGACACCATTATCTTCATGTGACAGCAAAGAAAACTGAGGCAAAGGAAGATGAAATAGCTAAAGTGAGGTCCCTAAACTCGTTAGTGAAAGGTCTAGGCAGGGTCAGAATTAGAATACTTCCTTGAAGCCAGCCCACCAGGCCACACTTAATACCTCCCCCATCAAATGAAGGAAGGCTGGTAACTGGATAGGAGCATAGATTTAGAATTGGCAGGGACCTGAGAGGTCATGTGGTCCAACCCCCTCTTCACCAGAGGAAGAAACTGAAGGCTAAGAGAGAGGAAGGACTTTGGGCCCAAGGTCACATGGGTAACAAGTATTGGCAGGGCTAGGATTTGTATACCCAGGTCCTGACTTCAAATTCAGCACCTTTTCCACTGTATCCAAAGGGGCAGAGAAGATCAAATCCCAAGAAGGGACAAGTGGAGTGGAAGGAAGGGAATATATAATGGGGTGTTATTGTCATAACAATTATAGTGTATAATATATAATACATTGCATATTTCATACGCCTACTGAATAGGCACCATGCCTACTCAGATATTTATCAGTGGATGAACAATTCCTGGCTTTGCTTGGTGATCCATTCCCCAACTATTTTGTATTTATTTTTTATACATTTTTGTATTGGGGTGCAATGCACCCAAATTGTCTATCTGTTCCCCACCCCACCCCATCTCCAGTAGAACGTACATTCTGTGAGTGTAGGGACAGCCTCATTTTTGTCTTTGCATCTCTACCATCGAGCATGATGCCTGGCACACAGCAGAACGTGATAAATGCTCATAGCTTGCTTGAATTTAGTTATATTGATTGATATTTACCGTATTTGAGCTTCAAATGAATTAGCATTATTTTGAAATTCCTCATGGACCCTCAAAAGGGTCTCTGGACCACACTTTGCGAATAGCTGATCTATACAAATGGAGCCCTCTTCCAACCCTGGTCACTAGTAGAAAGATTTGGATTATGACAGGTAAAAACATATATCCTAAAACATTTTTTCTTTAAAAAAAAAGCCTGCCTAGTGTTTGAGAGCTCTGTAAAAGTGTCTACTATAAGGTCAGATTTCAAACAATTATCCAAAATATCCATTTTCCACCAGAGAGGTTACCCCCATTTCTTCTTGCCTTAAAAGGTACCAGCTTTTTAAGTTGTAACAGAAAAGCAAAGCCTCTTGGGTTCTCCTACCTTTCCAGGTTCACACTCGGTCCCATCAGCCCAGGGTGTGTGCTGGGTCCTGCACCCTTTGTGAGCACCATCGATATTAATGCACCAGAGTCGTCTGCATTGCATCTGCTTAAAGTGTGAGAAGAAAGACTTGAAAATCTGGAGTAAAGGCTTATTCATATAATAACTGCCTTCTAAGGGACGCCCTCACCAACCCTGGCCCTGCCCAGTGGCTCAGCTCTGGCGCCACTTCCCCACCCCTTCCTCTCAGTTATTAGTGCTTTTCTCTCATCAAACAGCAACTACAACAATAAAAAAAAACCTTTGTATTCATTTTGTACATGTATCATATACTGTATATTGTACATGTATCATATATATACACATTATTTGTGTACATACTATATCCTCTGGTACACAGACAAATCCATGAGGGCAGGGACTATTTTGTTTTTATATCCCCAGGACTCAGTACAATGTGGCACACATCAGGCACTTAATAAATGCTTGCTAAATTGAGTGGGATGGAATGGAGACTTTGTTGCCACAAAACTCTAAATGTAGCAAAAGATGAATGTTGGCAAAGAGAGCCACAAACTCAACTAGGAAATGGAAATACAAAGGGACTGAAAATCTCAAGCCAGGTGGCACCTAGTTCAGCCCCTTTATTTTATAGATAAGGAGTGAGTTCCAAGGAAGCTGGGTGATCTGTCCAAGGTCACAGTGTGGCAAGTGTCCAAAGAAGGATCTGAACCCAGCTCCTCAAACTCTAGCCAGTTGTTTTTTCTGCTGTGGGAATGGTTCCTTCTCATAACATGCTTGACACTCTCTACCAACTGTCAGGTTTGGGAGGGAATGAGGCAAAGAAGGAAGTCTAGAACAGGGCAGAATGGAAAGAAAGGGAAGGAAAGTAAATGAGTGCAGAACAGGAGACAAAGATAGGTCAGTGATGCCTAGCAGTCTATCTACACTGATTCAGGGTGGAAAAGTGAAAAATGAGTGTAGGAAATCACTAGGAAGGCTACCACCCATGCTCTCAACACCATTATCACCATCACCACCTACACCTACACCCTCTACAACAAACTCACTATCAGTGGAGGTTCCCTGGTCTAATTCCTGACATCCACCAGCCCACCAGTCCACAAGGACACACATGGCATCACAATGATGCAAGCACAGGGGATGGTAGCTCATGGTCTTGGTCAAGGAGATAAAACAGGGCTAAAGAATGAAATCACCAGTACTTCTAGAGCAGGGGTCTTTAACCCGCAGTCTATAAATCTTTATTTTGAAAAATACACATATTTTGACCACTGCATTTTAATATAATTTGGTTGCTTTTCAATCCTATATATTTTATTTTAAAATGATTCTGAGAAGGGGTCCCTAGGTTTCACCAAAGTGCTAAAGAGGACCAGGAGCAAAGGTTAAGAATCCCTGCTCTAGAGTAGGTCCCTTTAAGTCAGGCTTCCCCAATGGGTCAATGCAGACCGAGAAATCAATATTGAAGACTGAGGTCAGTCTCCCATCTGGCTGCTCCCACCTTCCTCTCTCCTCTCCAGTACTTTATTTCCTCAATGATTTGGACCTTTTTAACTTATTAACTGTAGGCATCTTTAGCTCCCTACTGCCCCAAGCAGAAAAGACAAAGCCCTTGGTTTGGCATTTATAGTTCTTCAGGATCTGGCTCCAGTTGACCTTTATAGACTTAATTTACAGAAATCAGCATTCCCACTCATCATAGTGTGCCAGGCATAGCATGCTTATCAAATTTGCAGATGACACAAAGCTGGGAGGGATAGCTTACACACTGTCAGTCAACAAACTTTTATTAAGCACCTACTATATGCAAGGCATTGTGCTCAGTATGCTGGAGATGCAAAGAAAGGAAAAAAAAAAAAAGGTCCTTGCTTTTCAGGAGCTAAATGGATGAAAGAATCAGGATCCCAAAAGATCTTGATTGTCTAGACCTGATCTTAGATCAAATAGGTCTATAGCTTAAAGATCATACAAAATGTCCCTCAAAGGGCTTCCAGGAACAGGGAGGTGATATCCTCATTATATTCTGCCCTGTTCAGATGAGGTCTGGGTTCATTTTAGACACTACTTTTTGGGAAAGACATTGATAGGATAGAGAATATCCAGAGGAGGGCAGCCAGGACGGTGATTGGTCATGGGTAAATGTCTATTTGAGAACTGGTTGATGGAACTGGGAATGTTTCATTTAGAGAAGAGAAACCTCAGGGCAGGGAACCATATTGCTATTTTCCAGTGTGTGAAGGACTGTCCTGTGGTAATGGGATTAGACTTGTTCTCTTTGACCCCAGGAAACAGGAGTAGGAACCAAGGGGAGACGTTGCAAAGTGGTACATTTAGGTTCGGTACCAGGCAAAATTCTCTCATAATGAGAGCTATTCCCAAATGGAATGAGCTGCTCTCGGAGGTGGCAGGTTCTTCAGAGGGTAGGTGGAGACTGGAAATCTCCTAGCCAAGAACGGGCGATCATTCATTGAGTGTATTGTATAAAGGGCTTTCTTTTGTGACTATTTTTGCAGCTCTGAGTTGCTGTGACTGATTCTATGCATTTTCAGTGGGTAAGGAAGACTGAGTGTGGATGTCTCCACTTTCCCCAGCCCTCACAAGGCAGTGAGGAAATCAGAAGCAGCATCTCCTTGAAAAACACAGGCCATTATTGCTCTAACGCACATGGATAAAGCATATTCATTACCGAACAGAATCTAGTTTCTTCATTTGGAATTTGATTCCCCTCCTCTATATATGACATAGCAACTTTAGGTTAACCCTGTTATAGGGGGAGGAGAGGGAACGTCTAACCTGCTGGCTCATTTTATAGATTTCATCTGTATTACAACAAGAATTTTCTAGGATTTTAAGTATATCATTTTAGAGTTGGAAGAGATCTTACCAATCCCTATACTTTCAAACTCCAACAGATATGATCCATGACAGGATGAAGGGTTTGGAATTAAGAAAAACTGAGTTTAAATCCTGCTTCAAACACTTCCTAGCTGTGTGATCCTAGGCAAGTCACTTAACATCTCTCAACCTCAGTTTCCTTATCTGTAAAAGGAGGGGGTTGACTTTTATATTTCCTTGCAGCTCTAAATCTGATTTTGGGATGATATCTCATACATTTGAACCCCTGTGATACTCAAAATCTGTGCCACACAATTGTGCACTCAATTACATGAGCTTTAGCTTTCCCCAATTGCTTTGCTTGTCCACATATCATGTCCTCTACTGGATTTTAAGCTCCATGACGGCAGAGAGCAGGTCTTTGAAATCTTTTATGACCTCCCACAAAGAAGTGAGCATCCAGCAGTGTCGACCACAAAGATGGCACTCAATCAACCCTGGTGAATAGCTTGTTACCAATTTTTTCTCAAACAGGTCACAAGACATTGAGACACCAATATTAACACTGTTGATGATAACAGTGTTAACAAGGCTCCAAAAGGCTTATGGACTTACTCCAATGTTAACAGGACAAATAAAAAAGGAATTTCTGTTTGGTACCACGTCGCCAAGAGAACACCTACCATGTATGGGCACACCTGAGATCCTGGTCCAAAAATCAATTCACATTGCTTGTTCACGTTGTAAAAGAGGCCTGGGAGTTGTGGAGGCAGAGGGTAAGTCCTGGACTCGGGTTCATTAAGCAAACACTCTCCATAACCAGTGCTACAAGAAACACAGAGATACAAGCTTGAGAGTTCCGGATTAGAGCTGACCTGCAAATAGCTACAAGTGTTGGCTGAATGATGCCACAGAACTACACAGGAGTGTCCACACCACTTATTTATTTTAGCTTCTGGGCCAAATTGGAAGACTTGATGACAATGTTCCATCTCCTACCTCTGTACCCCCTTCCTCAATCCCTCTCCTTCCTCACTGCTGCCTCTCAGAATCCCTAGTTCCTTCCTTCAAGGACCCCTTCCTTCAAATCTCAGTTCAAGCATCATCTTTTTCAAGGACGGACACACAGACGGGGACACACACACACACACACACACACACACCCCCTATACTAATCTCAGTGTCTAGCTCCTTTCCAACAAAATTACTTTATGTTTTCTTATCTATGCATATGACATTGCCTCCAGAACAATATAAAGTTTTTGGAAGCAGAAAATGTTTCTTTGTTTCTCTTTGTATCCCCAACACAGGGGGATGACAGATAGTATATACTTAATAAACGCTAGGTGAATGAAGTGAATGAAATAATGAATGAGGATGGAGAGCTATTTAATTTGAGTGAGTTGGTATGTCTATCTATATATGCATATATAGATATACATATAATACATATCTATATATGCATATATATACATATAATGAATAGATACACATATTATGTATATGTGTTTTATTAATATATAATATATTCATATAACATCTTACCTCATATAATGTTTTATATATGTATATTATAAAATGGATATTACCTCACATATCATATATATATAAAAGTTTATATATACAAATAGAAGCCATACTCATGTGAAAAATTTCTAGAGCCCCATTCAAAATTAACTGTAAAAAAAAACTGTTTTGTTTTTATCAAAAGCATTTAAGTATCTGTACCCAAAAAATTCTTGCTGGTAAATTTTGATGAATCAGGTTTCTGTCCTGCGCTAGGGCCATGGGGATGTTCAACTGTGTGACCTTAGGAAAATCACTTAACCTCTGTGCCTCAGGGAGATAACAACCATAAATCTGGTGCAGAGGAAGACTGTGCAACATAATTGGATCTTGGGGCAGGTTTGCAGGAAGCTTGAAAAGAAAAAAGTGGCTCTGAAACCATTGCCACCAGCCCACAGCATCTGCACTGAGACACCCTCCCTCCAACTTTTCCTACAGATCCAAATGAGGACCCTAGGCCAATGCAAACATTTGCTCCCTTTGGGGAAGTAAAAAAATCATTTTCCCCTTTAGCCCCAAACCAGTCTCCACTGAGACATCACCAGTTGAAAACTGCAAGGAGAATCAGAGCTCAGCCAATGCCTTTAATCTTCTTCTCTAATCTCCTTTAGGACCCGGTCTGTTATCTTTCTGGTTCTGGACAAGATCTCTCAGCATGGCTGCCAGAGAAGGTTTTTTTCCTCCCTCCAAGGGATATAAATGAAAGGAAATAATTCAAAATCTGGGCTTGGCTCCACTTCTGATCTTTCATCATTGGGCCACTCTGTGTGCGACCTCAGCTAGTGGGCTGTAGAAAATTTTAGGGCGTCTCTTACTCCAAGAACTCTGTAATGTACTTCCGGCTACACTTGGACCACATCCAGGGGTTGGTGTAGACATTCAATGTTGGTGCCATGACATGCTGTGGACTTTTAACTCCTTCTTCTTTACATTTATTGTTGTCATCATGAGGCATGTTAAATCTACAGAGCGAAATAATGAAAAGAAAGTTAACAACCTTCCAACCTTTGGACCACCCCAATTCACATCAATACAATGCCTTAATAAAGTATTCATCCACCTGAAAAAAAATAATCCAACAAGTGTTACTTATGAGACTCTGACTTAGAGGAAAAAAAATTGGAAGGGAGGGGTTACAGTCTGGATTATGGGAACCCCCTGCCCCCAGTGCAGATTAGTAAGTCTTTAAGAGCTGCCTGAGGCATTGAGAATTTAAGTGGCTTGTCTGTGGTCACACAGTCAGTATGTATCAGATGCAACACTCGAACCTGGGTCTTCCTAATACCATGTCTGGCCTCCATTCCCCATGCTGTGCTGACTCTCCATCACACATCATTAAAGTGGGACAGCCAAAGAGAGATTTTTTTTTTTTGGCATCTTACTTTCTTTTCTTATAATCATGGACTATCAACCATAGCATCATGTTAGACTAAGTACTGGTGAAGCAGAAATGTTCGGACTGGTAGTGGCCCTGAACCTTTCAGCAGTTCAGTCCCCAATACTCTGATCAGAACTCCTAATGAGCCTGGGGGTGGGGAGGGGTTGACTTAGAAAGTCTTGGAATTTGCATCCTAAGGTCAGGCAAGTGTTTGCTGTGAGAGTTATTCTGTCTCTCAGTGGATTGAATCCAAGACTTGAAATAACTTTTGCATCAAGTGACACCATCAGGGGTTTTGTCATTTCCCCCCCTTATTCATCAGGTTGACAAAATCCTTCAAGCATGGAGATAGATGACCCTTATGATAAGCAAACTACCATCCCTACATAGCCCCATGAAGAGTCCGATCCAACCCAACATACATTTATTAAGTGTCTACTATATGCTGGGTGTTGGGGCAAACAAGCCAAACCACCAAGACTTTATTAAGTTCCTATATGCCAGGAGATGAACTAGGCATTAGGGATACATGGGATACAAGCCAAATGAACTAGACTCTTAAAGTGATTACTATGTCCAAGACACAGTGATATCCAAGTCAATCCAATAAGCCTCTATTGAATGTTAAGGAGCAATCCAATCCAATAAGTAAGCTTTTATTAAGCACCTATGAAGACAATTTAATAAGTTTTTATGAAACTTCTACTAAGTTCAAGTCACCCAAATAAGTATATATCAAGAACCTACTAAGTTCAAGACATTATACTAGGTGCTGGGACTTATAAGACAAAATGAAAATCAGTCCCTGTCCTAAAGAATTTTACAGTTCTAAGAGGCAAGGGAGATCAAGAGGCTTAATAAGAGGGAAATGAAAAAAAAAGATTTGATGTTTCTCAACTAAAGAAAGTCTTACAATAACTTCATGACCAATTTTTTTGAGTCAATTGTACTTTGGATGGGGAACATAGAGGTTCTGCCACTTTTATTGACCCAGCAAACACATACTGAGGGCCAACTGTGCACAAATGTCCATTAGGTACTATGAGGGATGAAAAAATGAACCAGCTGCCCACGGCTGGAGCCAATGAATTTCTGGATAGAGTAGGGGAGAGAAGCTACAACTAACTGTAATAGAAGGTAAAGAAGAAATAGAAGAGGGAAACAGAGCTTCTTGTTGGTGTAAGTCAGGGAAGGCTTCATGGAGGGGGTGGCATTGGAGCTGTTTAAATGTGAAGAATTTCAATAGGCAGAGAACTAAGAGGAGAATATTCTCAGTGGCAGGAAAACCTTAGATGAAGGCACAGAAGCAGAGGAAACCAGGATAGAAACTACTTTGCCTGGAGTGTGGGGTTCATGAAGAGATGAGTACTTGGAGGATCAGGATGTTGGTGCAAGTGTCTAATGCCACACTAAGTAATCTGGACTTGACCCAAGGGTAATTTTTTTTTGTTTTAGTACAAGAGGCTGACTTGATCAGAGCTATGCTTTTGGAAGCTTGCTCTATGATCAGTGGGTAGAATGGATTGGAAGGAGAAAGCTGAGAGGCTGTGAGATCTCTTGGGGCAGCAGAAATGGTAGAGTGGAGACTCCAGGGCACCTGGGGACAAGCTTTGCTTCAGGCATGTACTAGCTGTGTTACCCTGGGTAAGTCATTTAACCTTTTCTGAACCTTAGTTTCTTCAGCATCTTACTCTGTAAAATGAAGCAGGTTGGAATCAATGAGCTTTACAGTGCCCGACAGAACAAAATCTATGATCTACGATAAAGGAGAAACAGTGCAAAGATAGAATTGACAGCCTTTGGTGATATGAGAGATGTGAGAGGAGGTGTCAGAGGAATCCTGTGAAGCCTCAGGAACTCACAGAATGGTGGTGACATTACTGAAAATAGGGTGGTCAGGAAGAAGGGAAAGGGGCCTGCAGGAAAGCTGACACGTGAGGCTGTGGACGTGTTGGGCTCAGGTCTGACCCTAATCACAGGACTTAGTGAGTGCATGGGAGGTAGAATCCTTGGGGGGAATTTGCTCCCAACCACCAATGAAGAGAGAATCTAGAAACAAGTGAGTCAGATTGAAGTGCTTGGACCTGCCTCCTAGAAACAAGTCAAAGTTGGGAGAGAAGCCCATCACCGGAATTCACTGCCCCGAAGTGTTTTGGTGTTTTGTTAGCTGCTGAGGGGTGTGTGTGGGTGGGTGTGTGTGGAAAAAGACTGCAGTGATTTCTGGGTGACGTGGAAAAGTTGATTTGTCCTGGTTACACTTAGGAGGTATTCTTAAAAAAGAGAGAGAGACTAAAATTGTATTTAGCAAACAATAAAAGGGAATTTGGGAGAAGGCTAGCAAGAAGCACTAAAAAGCTTTGGGCTAACTATAATTATTACCCATTTCTTTATTCTGAGTCTGCCAATTTGGTGTGAATCAAATTCCTAGGGAAATCTTACTCTATTATTTAATGACTGAGAAAAGTGGGGCAACATGGCATAGGCTGGGCCAAGCTGGGTTTGAATTGTTCCTCAAACAATTATTTGCTGTGTGACTGTGAGCACGTCTTTTACCTTCTCTGGGACTAGATGATGATCTCTAAACTGACCTTCAGCTCTCATTCTATCATCTTACGAAGTCAAGCTAAGCTCTCTGGCACTACCCTTTGGACCTCAACCCTGATCCGATACTGCCAGTCACTGCCTTCAATTTACATTCTAACTAAAAGATCACTGGATCATGAGGGATTCTTAAGAGTTAAGATTCAGCTTTGCACATGATCATGCCAGATTTCTGACCATGGGCAAGTGCTGGCACAATACAGGACAAAAATCCAAACCCAACTGGCTGGATTTTGTTGTCAACAAAATGTTGTGGAGTCAGTTTCTCAGATTCATCCCTCCCCCCCCCACACACATCCAAGGAGACCAAATCAATAAATTATTTTGATGTCACGTAGACAAAGTCTGTAACTTCCATCGGATGCCAATGATATGGTATCAATTCTCCTTTGCACAATATAGATAACACTTGAATATTAAGAGCTGTTTTTAAAGCACCCTAGTGGCAACTCAATGAATGTAGTCTGATAATTATGTGCACAGGAGGGGCATTCAGACAACATCTAACTAGTTTCCTGGTAAAGCTGATTGATCAGCCAAAAGTACCATTTTTGTAAAAATTATTTTGTGTTTCTCTGGAGCCAGCTAAATACAGTTAAATATTTCAGCATTGTGCAATCTCAGGGCTGGGAGGAAGCTTAGAGATCATCTAATCCAACCCACTTATTTTAGAGGGCAGCAAATGGAGATTCCAAGAAAGGAAGTGACTTTATGAAGGTCACAAAACAAGTTAATAGCAAAAGGGAAGCCAGAATCTAGGGCTCTTTATTCTCTGGCCAGTGATATTTACGACAAGTCAGGAAGCCAACAAAAACAGCAATAATAACAATTTGGATTTTACATCATGCTCTCTTGCTAAGGTTATAATTTATATATTTATAATTTAAGTATTATAATTTGTAATTTAAGTGTTCTATTTTTTCCTAGGGAGGAAGGTTAAGATCTGTGATCTCTTACAAGTGAGGGCTATTTCCTGACAACTCAAATGTAATTTACAGCCCGATGGGGACTAAAAGGGTTAAGTGACATAACCAGAGTCACCAAGTCAGTATAAGAACCCGGTTGAAATCTTGCCACTGATATTTACTAGGGCTATGTGAGACCATAGGCAAGTCAATTAATATCTCTGGGTCTATTTCCCCATCTATAAAATTTAAATAATAATACTTAGGTTTCCCTCCTTCACTCAGTTGTTCAAATGAGATAATGGATGTCCAACTTAATGGACTATACAAATGCATTGTTATCATTGCTATTACATGTTATAGGTAGGACTCAAACCTAGGTCTTTCTGACTCTAAGACTGGCTTTCTATCTAATACTATGCCATGCTTCCCCTCATTACATTACCATCATTATTCTATAATATAAAACATATTCTACATGTATTCTATATCTTTTATATTATAGAATACCCAGTAGATTCCATTTATATTCTATAATGTAAAATATATTATTCAATCATACATAAACTTTATCATTTCATTTTATCTCCACAACATTTTTCTGAGATATTCTGGGCAAGAATTATTCCTATTTTTTTGGGAGGGGGGTGAGGCAATTGAAGTTAAGTGACTTGCCCAGGATCACACAGCTAGTAAGTGTCAAGTGTCTGGTCTGAGACCAGATTTGAACTCAGGTCCTCCTGAGTCCAGGGCCAGTGCTCTATCCACTGCGCCACCTGGCTGCCCTTAGAATTATTCCTATTTTACAGATGGAAAAACTGAAGAATAAATCCTTGACCAAAGTCAATAAGCCTAGGAAATAGATTAGAACCAAGTCTTCTAAGTCAAAGTTCTAGACTGTTCAAAATGCCTCTACCGTTGTCTTCCCCTATAGAATATAAGTTCCTTGAGGGGAACTTATTTGTTTGTTTTTTGTGTGTGTGTGTGTTTTTTTTTTGGTCTTTGTATCTCAGGTGGTTGGCACAGAGTAGAGTTTTCATGAATAAATATTGACTGATTGACTGATTCAGGTGCATCCACCGATTTTTCTAAATATGTCTGGTAAATTCATTATGACATCCCCTCTCATTTTCAGTGATGTATGAATTTGATAAATTAGCTGAAAGAGGTTTTTACTGACTTTCATAGTAAAGGAATAATTTGAAGTCCATTAAAGACAATAATTTGAGCTAAATCTAGTTGCCAATTCAAATAAATTGAAGAAAAAGAACATTTTAGTCCCTTCTGGCAACCATGCAAGTTGGTTTCATCTCTGTCTATTAAACATGCCTTGGGCTGACTTGATTGAAAAGTCCTCCTTTGAAGAACCTACCATCAAGGTCTAGCTTTGATCCAAACTCCTACAGAAAGCAGTACTAAAGACATGTCCCTTGAGGTGATGTTTAAATGAAACCAACTCACCCAAGAGGGATATTCCCCTCACTATCACAATCCCTTACTATACACTTCCATCCCTCACATGCTTATACCACCTGGAATGGTCATCACTTGCCTCCGTGTTTTTTTCTTCCTTCAAAGGATCAGATGAGATAATATATGTAAAGCACTTAACACAATGCCTGGCACAGAAGAGGTGCTGAATAAAGGCTTGTTCCTTTCCCTCCCTTCAAAATCTCCTAGAAGATTGGATCAATGTCTTGTACATATTGATATTACCCACATTGCACTACAAATAGGAAGTACTTAAAAGTCTTTCAGATGTGATGAGTAAAAAATACTTAATCCTCTCCTGGCTACATTTCTCACATCTAACACTCAAAATTATATAGAACTGAAGATCAACAGAAACCTCTTGCAAATGTAATTAAACAACAACAACAAAATAAAAACCCCATACAACTAGACCCATTATTTCATCACTGCACTGGAAAGAAATGAGAAATCAGAATCAGGTAAACATCACTTAAAAGAAGCTTCAAGAGAAAATTCTTTTTAATGGATATGTTGGAGAGACAATTAAAGTTTTTGCTATTATGAAGCACACATTGTCTTTGGAGAATGATAGTCCTAACCCTGATCAATGCAACAGCCAGGCCCGATTCCGTAGGACTGACAATGAAACAGATTTCCCTTCTCTTGGCAGCGACGTGGTGGGCTACAAGGACAGAATGAGGCATACTTGATTGGATCTGTGTTGGGTTTTTTCATTATTTTTTACAAGAATTCTTGTTGGTAGGGGAGGTGATAATGAAGTTTGTAAAACATTAATGAAATATTCACTTTAAGAAAGAACACTATTTAAATTATTTAAACATAAATAAATGTTTAACAATTTATAATGATTAATAATTTATAAAAACTGATTTCAGGGTGACCATATTTGGATAATTACGAAATGGTGAAGGATACTTTGGGAAAGTTCATAATTATTAGTATGTTTTTTATGCTATCTATTGTTTTTCTTTATTATGTCATTAGTATAACATTATCAGGATCAGGTATTTTTATCTGAATATCTGGACAGTTACAAGAGATGTCGCAGGACTTGTCTTTGGTATGTGTAGAAAGAGGCCATTTCATATGCCACATGGTAGCTCTCTAGAATACCAGCACTTTATGGTGTTAAGGACTTGACTGTGGTGGAGGGAGGAGGAAGGTCTCATTGGCTAAAATGGGGCCTCTCGGGTCCCTTTGATCTCTAGGTCTATGACCCTATAAATTCATTTCCAAGGATATGAAGGGGAAAAAGAACTACTGGAGTTTACAAAATGGTGTGCCAAACCAAGGATTCAGGTGGACTCGAACTAGATGAAGTAACATCCATAGTCTCATACCTATGGAACCAGAAGGAGTCTTGAATACCATCTATTCTAACCCCCTCATTTTACAAAGGAGGAAACTGAGGCCAAGAAAGGTGAAGTGATTTGCCCAACGTCACACATCAGATCATTGAGTTAGAAAGGGCCCAGGGGCCATCTTGTCCAACTCCTTCATTTTTCAGAGAAGGAAACTGAGGACCAGGGACTTTAAATGAGAAGTCAAAATATTGTTTCCTTATACCAGTTCCTCAATTCAGCATACTCCATAATGCCTAGTAGAATGAACACCATATACTCTATAGGTGGCTCAATTAAGGTTGAGTATCAGCGAAATGGTTACAATAAACTTAAATAAATTGAAAGAAAGCATACACATGGCCAAGTTCATGTGCTATGGTAAAAGCAGTACTTAATCCATTGTCTTCACTAATTGAACAACTTCGATATGGATCACAGACCGTCCCCAGTTCAGCAAGACCTAAAAAAATAATGAGAAGATTCTAGCTGTAAATCTTCACATGACAGATGACTTGAAACACTCCCCACAACCTCTCCCCAAAATGCATGGAAAAATCTTTCAAATCTCAAGGGATTAAAAACATTAGACTTACCTAAAGTATCACATTTGTCATGAGCTCTGCAAATATCCTGCCTGAAAACAAAAGACACTTGGTACTTTAATACTGAAGAAAAATCAATTACAGCACAAGTTTTTAAAAAGGTGTAGGTCTTTGAGGCAACCAAAAATCATTTTTTTAAAGTAAGGAAGGTGTTAGGAAATTCAACCAGAAAGTTTGCAAAAACAATAACAACAAAAAGTTTGGGCTACACTAATCTGGGAGCTCATTCATCCTCTTAGCCAGGATTGCTTCAATTGTCAGAAAGAAGAGAGTTATCTTATTTTTAAGTCTTTGCGAGGAAGGAGATTTCATAATCCTCTGGAGTGCTTGATTTTAGTACTGAAATATCTTGACCCATAGAGCTTATGAAAATCGCTTTCTTTTTTTCCCATCCAGTTTCAGAGGTCATTGTTTACCCTCTGGAGGCATCTGCTATGATGTCAGGCTCTGTCCTCATACTCCCTACACATGGATGAAAAACCCACAAGTACAAAAATAAGGACATTGACGTACCTTGTGACAAGGACAGCTGTATCATGCTGGATTCCACCAGGATAGTTTTTTGAATGCTGCCACTGGCAAAAGTTTTTTAATGTTGTCTGGGCATTAAAAGATATGGCTGGCCCTTCCTGATCACAGAGATATACGAGAATTGCATGTCAGTCAGTAGTAACAATACTCACTGTAAACACACCATTTCGAATACAGATAGAAAAAAAATGCTTTATTACCTGCTCATTATGAATCACGACTAAGTTCACAATAACAATATTAATTAAATTTCCAATACTTGGGTCTTTATAGATAGAGGCTACCTGTAACCAAGATAAATTGTTAAAGTTACTTCTATCTTTTTAGCAACCAATGAATAAATTCATCTCTTATCCCATCTAATAACATTTACCCTCTATGTACTGGCCACTGGGATACAAAGACAAAATAATGCTCTTACGGAACTTATGTTCTCTTGGACAGATACAAGATAAACACCGATGAGAATGCACATGATAAGTGTGTGAAGACAGCAATCGCTGTTCCCAGGATAAGAGGCAGGTTTTTCATTTTTTAGCTTCATCTCATCGTAAAAAGTGTTTAGATCAAAATGAACCACAAATAACACAGCAAGCCCAAACCCCGGGGAGTTTCTACCTACACACAACATTTCTCCAGGGAATCAAAGGATTGACTTATTGTTTTAAATTAAGCCATTTCCCCTCATTTAAAGACTCTTTGTTTCTGTTATAACTAGAAAATTATCCAAAAATGTAAACATTTCCAAAGACCAGATAGGTAAAAGGGGGGATTATATGAAAGTCTAGCTCTCTAACAGGAGCAACCTTATGCCTCAGGATTTCATTCTTTACCACTTGTTTGAGATAATGTATTTAAAGCATTTTATAAACCTTAAAGCACTATAGAAATGTTAGCTATTATAAGTATTGTTCTTACTACTCTAGCCGCTGCCGCTGTTAACATCTATGTTCATGGCCAGTCCCCAATCCTCACTGCCTACCTCCTAAATTCTGGATTTGAAGCTACTTCTTCTATAGTGCTCAGTTATAACACCATGTAGCCCCCAAAGAGAAGATTCCATGGGTTGTATGTCCAGCCCATGTCACTCTGTTAGAATCAAAGGACAGGCAGCTCCCAACTGAAGGAGACACATTCCAAAATGTCTGTTTGGAAGTCAACAGTTTGGAATTTGGAACTCATTTTCCTTTGCTGGCCATGTTACAAATTATATTTAGGTTTGAAGAGAACTCACAAAAGTCTTCCTAATTTATAATGCATTAAGGATAATATCATGTACATAGATAATTTCATGGGAAAATGCTTTCAGAATTCCAATTTGAAATGCTAGAAACACTCTTCTGAACTGATGCAAGGAGATGCAGGTGCCAGACACCAGGAGTATCTTGTATGAAGTGGGCCAGGGACTCGAGCAGGAGAGGGGGTAGGGGCAGACAGAGGGGCTTCATGTAGGGATAGGGGCTACATGCAGGAGGCTGAGGTGAGGGACTTAGGTGGTCGGATTCCAGGGTGAGGGCATGGAAGGGCTTCAGTTAGGGTTTCAAAATGGGGAAGGGGGAGAATTGGGTGAGGAACTCAGGTGTTTGGGTTCTAGGGCAAGGAGCCTGGAAGGACAGAGGGTACAAGTGAGAAGTGAGGAAAGGAGCTCTCTTCTGTGAAGAGAACACTGGAGGAATAAGAGACCTTAGAGAAACAGAGTGCTAGAGTGGTGTAATGGTGTTATGGTGTTATGGTGCAATGGCATAACGGTATAATAGTGTAATGGAAAAACTAGTAGGTTTGGACGTGAATGACATGGATTCAAATCCTGATTCTGCCACTTACTACCTGTGTCACCTTGGGCAAATAATTTGATATCTCTGGGCCTCAGTTTCCTCATATGTAAAGTGAAGAGATTGGACCAGGTGACTTCTAAGGTCTCTTCAAACTCAAGGGGGTAACAACAGGGGTTCCAGATTTCCCTTTCATCTCTTCTCTCCACCCTCCTCAGAACCCTGCCATTGCAGACTATGCCCAGTGCTGCAGTGAGAAGGGGGGATGGAACTTGTCTCGTCGGAAGGAGGGGGGAACAAAGGGGTCAGCAGGAGGGAGGGGGAAAAGGAACGAAGCCCAGCAGAAGCAAAGGGGAAAGGAGAGCTCCTTCAGCCAGATCTGTCTGGCTGCCATTTATGTCTGAGACTGGAACTGCCTGTAACTCTTGCTCAACGAATAGTATCAAATTTCCTCCAGTTACTTTCCTGACTCAGTTAAGCTCTGGACATGCCTGCTGAACACAGCTCCAAGCCTCCTCCCCAAAGGCCACATTGGGTGGCTCGAATTACTTCGTTCTCCATACTTACTATTGACATTAAGGTTAAAATGTAGTGTTGCAGATTCGCTCCATGATAGGCAACCATTCTGCTGTCTGCGACCACCATCACTTCCACAAAGCGAGGATACGATAAAAAACGTTTCGTCCTCCTATGGCTCTTTCTCCCGCTCATGCTCTCAGTCTTGTTATCATGGGCAGAAAATGGTTTTGCTGCCAACCTGCTTTTTAATATCTCCACATTATCTGACAGCATGCCCCTGTCTTGCCATTTTCTCATGTGGGTTTTCTTCCTTCTGCTGCCATGTTTATGTTCTGCAAGAAAAGAGAAGCTACAGATAATGTTTCAGCCTAGATCCTTTTCCTATGAAGGACTACACTATGCTATGGTTCATCTCTTATTTCCCCTCTTATGGCAGGGAACTATGGGTACACCATGCTACATACACTGGGATGATGAGATCACTGAAGAGCCAAGTAGGGCAGGGCCACGGGGGCTCTGCTCCAGGGTGCAAAATTTAGAAGGCCCTGACAGCATTTGCCATCCTTGAGTAGTATTTCAAAAACCCCAAAATGCTGAATTTAGCCTATCATTAGCAAAAATAATTACTAAAAAAATTAATAATTCTACCCTCCTCCTTTATGGCAACCCCTCCTATATCATGCTGCCTCAGAGCCTTGCAAATGAAAGGTGCTTCATAAACACTGGCCAGAAAAAGGTATGGGTATTTATTAAGTGCTTGCTATGTGCCAGAAGCACTTTAAATTATTTTCTCCTTCGATTGTCATAACTCCATGAGGTAGATGCTATTATTATCCCCATTTTGCAGTAAAAGCAACTGAGGCAGATAGAAGTTAAATAACTTGCCAAGGGTCTCAACAGTGATCTAACAAGTGTCTAGGGGTGGGGGGATTGCCACCAGTCCAAAGACTTCCCAAACAGAGCCCTTCATCATGGCAGTGATTTTTCTTGAAGACACTCAATCATAATATTTATCAAATTAGTATTGGTATTTCAAATTATAATTCTTAAGGGCATTTTCCCATGAAAGCATCCTTTTATATAATAATTAGTTACTAAAATACTACCCTTAATGTATTATAAATTAATAAAACATGAGCTGTTGTCAAACCTAAAGATAATTTATAACATGATTACTAAAGGAAAATTAGCTCCAAATTCCAAACAGTTGACTTCCAAACAAACATTTTGGAATCTGGAATACCTAATTAACTGGCAACTTTTAATTAGTTGCAGGGAGCAGCTTACATGAATGCTCACTTAAGTTATTAAAGAATCAAGCTTCAGCTTGAGGGATAAATTGAGTATGAATCTTTTCAGCTAGAAGCTTGACTGGGCCCAATGCTTTCTCTTCTCATTGTTCTCCAATAGAGAAGGAGTGAAGGTCAATAACTGGGCCACTGAGGCCTGAAGAATAATGAGCAGAACATTTCAGATACTCAGCTTTTGATGGCCAATTAGGTACAATGTAAAGAGGCCTAAATAAGATGATAGGAAGTAGGCTAATGAACAATACAAAAGAGCTGTAGAAAATGGAAAATAATATCTACTCTTGTAAGGGCAAGACTGTGGAGACTTGATGCCTCAGAATTTATTTAATCAGGTTATTACAGTTAGTGCTTCAGCAAGTAGCAGTAAACTTAGAGAGTAAATGGAATAGTGCCATGAAGAGACAGTACCAAATAAGTTCTATTCATCTAGAACTCTCCCAGGCCTGGTGTCAGGAAGACTCATCTTCCTGAGTTCAAATCTGGCCTCAGACACTTATTAACTGTGTGATCCTGGGCAAGTCACTGTTTGCCTCAGTTTCCTCATCTGTAAAATGAGCTGGAGAAGGAAATGGCAAACCACTCCAATAGATTTGCCAAGAAAATCCCAAATAGGGTCACAAAGAGTTTGAAACAACTGAACAACAACAACAACAAAATAAACCAAAAACACCCCTCAAATCAGCTCTATTTATCTATAACTGTCCCAGGTTCCAGGCCTCGCAGTTTCCTTTCTATCTACTTTGTATATATCTTGCATGTGCCTAGATATTTATACGTTGTGCTCCCTTATTGGAATGTAAGCTTCTTGAGGGCAGGGTCTACGTTTGACTTTCTTTGTATTCCCTGGTGCAGTGTAAGCACTTAATGAATACTTGTTCCTTGACAGACGTGCCTTTAAATTGGCAATGTTCAGGTTCATGGGTTGGATCAGATGACCTTAGAGGTCCCTTCCAACTCTAAGACTCTGGAATTTCATTTGGAAGGAAATTTATCAAGAACAAAGGTTCTTAACCTTTTCTATGTAATGGACCTCCTTGGAAATCTGACGAAGCTAGGGACCCCTTCTCTGAATCACGCTTTAGATGCATAACATAATTTACATAGAATTACAAAGGAAACCAAATTGTATTGAAATGGTTATCCAAATACTAAAAAGAAGAAGAAAAAAAAGCTTATAGATCCCAGGTTATGAACCCCTCTCCAAAGCATTCAGGACACTGTACATATGTTGAGCCTTTTGGACCACTAAGAACAAATGTAGCTACGTCCCTATGAAAGTCAGGGGTTGTTGGAAAACTCTATATTAATAAGCATTCTGATATAAAATGAGGCCCATGTATTAGAGTAATAAAATTGAAGAAATGAAGGAAGGAATCATAAAAAGATGCTCCAGTCATCAGCACGCAATAAAGCATGTCACCACACATTACCAAGAAGTCTTTTCATTCATGAGTAATCTGTGTAACAGAGACATTTTCTCTTGTGTCTTATGAGGTATGAAAAAGCAGAAATCATGTTAGTTCTCTAATAAAAGCTGAAGCAATATTCTTTCACATAGCAGGCTTCAGAATTTCTTAGTCTGCTTTTTTTTTCCTTTGGATGAACCAGAATCATATTCATCTACTCTATACCCCAGCTAATAATTAGTAAACTAATAACACTTTAATTTAATTCAACAGACATTTATTTATAAAGCATTGGCTATGTCTATGTGCTACTATAGAACCTTCTAGGGTTTATAAAACAAAAACTGGCCCCTGCCTTCAAGAAGCTTATATTCTACAGAGGGCTAAAAGAATGTGAGCTTGGGTAACACACACACACACACACACACACACACACACACACACACAGACACACACAGACACATATAAGTACACAAATAAAGATAATCACTGGAGATAAGTTGACAACATTCAGTATGTCTACAAAACCCACTTGTCGATAAAATAAGGACACATAGTGAGAAGAATGCTTAAAAGGTTAAAAATCAAAGGGTCATGTTCTATTAAAATGAAAACTACGTCCCTATAGTTGTCCTGGAATGATGGTCTCTCAGGGGATAGTACAATGGCTCCTATGATTGACTCTTGCATATATCATTCTGCCCATTGTGTTGCTAGCATGGATTTCACAAGAAAATCTTACTCTCACATGAAAGTGGGATGAAGCTCTGTGTCATACTTGTTACTTAGTGCTGAGGGTGGGGAGGAGTGAGGGGCAGCGTCCTAACTAGGGGCAGAGAGACTGGGATTTTGTCCTAGGTACAGAAAAAGAGGGGGCTTCTTCCAGCAGGAGGGTGTGTGCTTAGAGCAGCCTGACTCTACTCCACCAATCAATCAATCAACAAGTATTTATGAATCATCTACCATGCTCCAGGCACAGTACTAGGCAAGGAATACAAGTACAAGGAATGAAATAATACTTACCGTCAAGGAGCTTACATTCTAGCCCTAGGCTACCTCTTGCAAGGTCTCATCACCATAGTGCCTCTCCCCTAAAGCCACCTTCCTAAATGACTCACAGGCCAAACTCTCTGGGGAACATCCCTCTATCCTCAAGTTACATAGCCCCCTCCCCCAAACCCCTTGGGAAAGAATTCCTATGGCTCTCCTTACTGGCATGTGCTATCAAATTTAAAAACATAGAATATTTTTCTTTTTATTTTTGGACTCTTGCCCAACAGAACTTTGTAGGGCCTGATTTTTCTTACTAATTGCCTGGAATTTGCCTTCTAAAACAACATTCCAATTGCACCTCCAATGTGTGATTCCTTTCAAAGAGAAGAATGTTTTTAAAGTGCTTTGCAAGCCTTTAAGCTGTATTTGGAGGCCAGCAATTCTGAGTAGCATTACAGGCAGTGTGGTGTAATGAATAGCTTGGATGGGCTTGGAGTCAGAAGGGCCTGGATTCACATTCAGATCTTGAGTTATTGACCAACCAAAAAAAAAAAAAAAAGGCCCATCACAGGTCATCACAGGTCTTTGATTTGTGATGCGTATCACGAGACAAACTCCAGGTAGTTAAAAAGCAAAATCAGGATAAGAGATAAATTTATTCATTGGTTGCTAGGTGGCATAATAGTTAGAGCTCTCAGACTGGAGTCAGAAGCCTCTGAGTTCAAAACTGGTTTCAGATACTTAGTAGGGGTGTGACCTTGGGCAAGTCACTTAAACCTGTTTTTCTCAACTTCCTTAACTGTAAAAATGGGATAATAATAACACCTACCTCTCAAAGTTATTTTGAGGATCAAATAAGATAATATTTATAAAGTGTTTAACACAGTGTCTGGCAAAAGTAGGTTTCATATAAAAGCTGGTTGTTGCTATTATTATTATTAGTAGTAGAAGCAGTAGTAAAAGTAGTAGTAGTAGTAGTAGTAGTAGTATCTTTCTATTTTAAACTTTTGTATAAATATGCAAGTTCAAGAATGTCCTGATTGTTTCAGATGTTCCAAATCGGTGCCTATTTTCCCAGTTCTGTGTAAGGAGGCTTCTAACCTTTTACTGCAAAGATTTCTACCTAGGATTTGGTTCCCCTAATATAATGGCTGCATCACTGGAAAGAGGAAGGCAGTATGACCACCCAAATAGAAGTTCCTCTAGAATCACAGAATGTCAATGCTAGGAGAAATTTTTAACTCTAAGAGGACCAGGCACATTAATTGGTAAGGAAATACACTTGATAATAAATATTTTCTTTCTTCTATCTATGTAGATATACTTTAAATGCAGATAATTACAAACTGATACTACAATTTCACATCGTAATAACCATTTTACATTGTAATAACCATTTTTACCATACTATCACTATTTTCTTCTTCTAAAAAATGCATTGCATCAATGAACACATCTTGGTCCTTCAAAATATTTTTAAATTCAAGTTTTTCTTGTGGGAGGAAGTATACTCCAACTCCCTCATTTTACAGATTAGGAAACTGAGGATATGGGAAGGGAAGTGACTTGCTGAGGGTCACTCAGGAGCCAGCAGAGCAGAGGTTAATATTCAGTTCTCCCAAT